TGCTCTGCACAGTTGGGCTTTCAGAGTGAGAGAATCAGAGCTCCAAACCCAATCACACTGAATTATAGCATATTGGTTATAGATATGTCCCAACAGACTTCTAACGTGACTGATTTGTAAGACCTGCTCTCTGCGTTAATGGGGAGTTTCCTGTTTAAAAAAAAAAAAAAAAGTGATAGCAATTTGCTTGCATATACTTGCTAATTTCTGAATGCAGGTGTGTTGCTGAAGTGTTGTGCCTCACTTGCTTTCTTTTCTGTTGGTTTAATAACAGTAACTTTTGGTCAGTTGCTATGGAAGATCAGGGAGCAGGATTTGATCCCGGATAAAGTGCCAAGAGATCTCCAAGGAGCTTATGCCATGTAAACCCTGAAAGGGCTGAAAGAAGACAAGTGCAGGAACAGCCCATGTGTCTGAATAGTCCCTGACAGCCTTTACAGTAGGTTCCCATTTTTATTTTCTTTTAAAAATCTGTACATAAGGAGGATAAAAAAACTTACAGCTTTGTCCCTCAAAATGTCAGCTATTTTGGCCTCTGGCTTTTGTTTTCTTAAGCTATTGTAAGATCTGTTGCCTTCTGAGCAAGCAGATCTGGTTCCAACCATGTTGTAGGGGCAGAGGCTTGTAAATTTTAGAGTTATAGCAAATAAAAATTAATTTCAGCTTCACCAAAATACCGTTGAAAATGGTGGGAAAATGCTGTAATTCTTGTTGCCTCACATTGTCATTTTTGATTGGGAATAATTACAGCCAATCTCTGTGTTCATGCTAGTTGCAAACTCTCACAGCGAGAAGATGCCCAGAGCTAACCGATGAGGCTCAATGTTCAGGCAGGGCAGGTTTTCTAGAGACTCCATCAGGAGCAGACCATTCCCAAGAGAGGGTGTGCACATGTCAACATTGTTAGAAAGGAGCCATAACAGCTTTTCCCTTTCTTGGTTGTGTTTTCTGATGCCCGATGTGGGTGTGCCAACCTCCCAGAATCTTGTGAAAGGGCAGACCGTGAAAGCCTTGAAATAATTATTTAAAAACCTAAACAATAAAAACAAAGCTCACTGAGAACTGGCTGAGCAGGTTGCTCCACGCTGACGAATAGTGCAGACTTGTTTCTGGCTCTTTTGTTTTTCCAAGTTTGAAATCTCTTGGGGGCAGGATTGCTGGAAAGAGCAGTGATGTAAGAGCAAGGATAAAGACTTGAGAGTTTTATTTTTAGCAATGGCTAAAATAGTCCTCTCTCTGGCCTTATGACTCTCCTTTTGGTCCCTACAGCATTGCAGGTGTTGAGGGTGGCTTTTGCCACAGCTTTGTTCAGGGCACGGGCCTCAGGGGCAGAATGGAGCCAAAAGCTTTGAGATCAGATCCATAGGTGGGATTCAGCGCAGTGGGGAAGGGTCCTGGCCATACTGGTTTACAGAGGGAAGCAGCTGGCTTGAAGTGCAAATACAGGATTTGCACAGGCTCATAATCTTTCCTCTGAATACTTTGTCCTTAAAACACTCATCATTTTTATTGCCTAAAGTCCTGAGCACCAAACTGTCTGCAGCTTTGGTTAGAGAAAAGTGGAGCGTTGCATGATATTCTGCTGATATGTGTAAGATGATGATGAGATATTGTAATAATGGTGGTGGAATAGATGCCCTCAGCAAGAGAGACAGCTGAGTGGCTAATGTTCTTTCTGTGGTGGCACCCTAATTACCAAGGACACATTTGTGTTCATGCACGTTATTTGGTAATCATACTTAGTAGACCGTAGGGGACAGTTAGGAAAACTTAAACATGTGGCAGCTTCCACTACATCATCGCTATAAGCACCAGCAAGATTGGGATCACGGCCTTAAAAAGTTTTGGCGCTAAACAGTGGGAAGCAGCTTGCACGTGTTGGAGGACTGAGGAGGTTGTTTTGGAAGGTGAGTGTCACGCTGGAAGTCCGAATTCTCCTTTTCCTTGTGAGAAAGGAAAGGATAACTATTTAAATTTCCTTCTTCTCCGTATTTAAATAACAGGAGAAATACATATCTGTTTCTCATTACGTGTCTTTTAATAAGTAAGTGGCAGTGATTTTATCTAAATCTGAGCTCTACGGCAGGTATGATGTTAAACACAAAGGTAAACACAAGTGATGAAACAATGCTTTGTACTGTACAGTGTGCCTTGGTATCTTATTAATTCATAATTATCCCTCTCCTAGAAGAATATCATTGTTTGTGAAATGACTTGGAACTTGGGAACTAAGTGGTGGCTTGACAATGGCTGCTGATAACATCGCTGCCACCAGCTGCCTCGGGGCTGCCTGAGACTGGCCAGCGTCCAGGGCGGGTTGTCTCCCTTGTGTCTGCTTGGCTCCTGCATTGATTCTCGTGGTCAAAGCTGGCTGTGCTGGATGAGAAGCTGTCATCCCTCCGAGTGGGGAAACGGGGTAACAGGGAACAAACTGAAAGAGTGACACTTTATTCCAGAAGACTTATCTATTGAATCCTCTCAAACAATGTTGGCAAATATCACAGAGCTAAGTTCTGAGTATAAAATGTGTGTTTGTAGAGTAACTGTGTGCAAAACTTGTATTTGAGCAAGGAAGGAGATTGCAGGAGCATCGTAGCAGTTAGCTGCTGTGTGTCTGCCAGCACTGTATGCAGACGTTTAGATACTGTGAGCGTGTGCACAGAAATACCTGCCTTCAGAATTTGGTATACTTGTGCTGGGATTTCCAGCCAACACAGGCAGGACGGCACTGCAATGGGGCAACCTTCCTCCAGGTCAGCACATGGCAGTGAAAGTGCAGGAATTCAGGCGTTAGAGCTCTAGCCTGGGGTGGGCACCTGTGAAATAAAACTCTTGCTGCAGCGAACCACTGGCTATCTCAGAAGTGCAACTCTTCAAATGCTCAGTCAGCCAGTTAGCAAGTCACAGGTCTGTGTTAAACTGCCTATGCTGTTCCAAAACAGGTCAGGTGACACCTTTAACCATGCATAGGATTCTGCTGGGCGGGCAGCTGAAAGCCTCCCCCGAGGGGCCTAGATGCATCCTTTCTAGCTAGCTGCCTCCAAAGCTTCTCTAAGTGCACATGGGGGCAAGAGAGGCAGAGGGAAAAGAGACAGACGAACATCACTCCTGTGGAGTCCAGCATGGTCCAGAAAAAGAAGCAGTGCTTAGTCCCAAATGGTGTCCATTCATGCCTGAAAGGCTATTGGAGGGGTTTTGGTTTTTGTTTGCCTGAAGTTGTTGGCTTGCAGCTGATAGAGGTGCTGGATATTGACGTTTCAACTATAAATCTCATTTAAAATATAGGTTTGTTTATTGGGGTATATCACCCAGGACTGCAGTCAAGCATGTGACATTACTGTGCAGTGGCAGATGAACAATTAGCACATCTGTGCATGAGCCTGTTGCTGTGCAGAGCTCTCGGAGGTGTTATTAGCATGCAGTTGTGTGTCTGCCTTAAAGCATCATATTGTTTATGGAGTGGCCTAGAACTGTTTGAGCTTGGACAATGGCTGCTGATAATATCGCAGCCAGAAGTAGTTTGCGAATTCGGATACGTGGAGCGTGTCGCCTGTGTCATGGCAAATTGGTGACTGTGTTTGTTCATCTCCCCATTGCACAGTGCATCTTGACATTGCCAGTGTTGGCAGTGGGGGAGAGGCAAGGATACTGGTGGGCTTGTGAAGAAGACGGTCCCATCCTGCTCTCCAAGAAGGCAGTGAAAGTTTTGCACCAAGTGTGATTTTGCTGACTGGCCTTTTCTTTCCACTGTTTTCAGTGGAATTGAATGTGTGTCACCTGTGCAGGCAAATCAGTGTCACTTGTAGGTAGACTGACTCCCTAGAGAGGCACAGAGCTCCTGCTCTGGCTCAAGCACACCTTCCCAGGAAGCAGGGCTGCAAGACTACGGATGCATTAAAGGTGTGGTATCTGCATAGACTCTACAACATGGCAGAAATGAGCAACCTACCTGAGCAGAAGTGTCTTGAGCTTCCCCTACGAGGCTTTGTCACCTACTTCAGCTGACACCAGGCAAAGACCATGAATCTCTCCATTCTTTTGAAATGGCACCTCTCTGTGTTGACACTCCTTTAGTGACTGCTATGGGCTCGAGAGGTTAGTGTGACCCGTGGTTAGGGACTATTGTCAGCCTGGTCACTGACGAGGCATTTTGAGCAGAACAGTCTCTATTTAAGTGGGATTCCCTGCAGCTCTGGGTACCTGCTGGAGCTAGCGGGGAGGACGAAGGGCTGCAGGACTTGCTCTTGGTTCCCTGGCTGTAACTGGAGGAGTATACTTTTCACTTCATGCTGTTGACTGGAGTATGTTTATTTGTTTATTTTATCTGGGAATGGAAAGGGGGAAGGCAGGCAGTGTGAAGCTGCCTGCTCAGTCTTTGGTGTGTTGGTATGGCCAGAATGGTCTGCAGTGCAGCTCAGCAAGGGTACCTTCACCTAGGACAGAAGTCTGATGAGCCTGTCTCTGAGTCATGGCTTGGAAAAGGCACATATTTGTCAGCTTTGTATTTTACTTTTCCTATGACTTTGCCTTTTTCTGGTCTTTTGTATTCCTAGGCTTTTGTGCTGTGAGACTGTTTGGTAGCCATTCATCTGTCAGCATCTCAGAACTCAGCACACTTCTCTGATCATTAGAGATGAGAGTAAAGAAGTAGGGCAGAGTCCTTATTTTTTCATGTTAGCTGTGTTTATTATGAATATTTTGTACAAAAATGATCTTTGTTTCATGATTTGGGGAATCATGAGTCATAACAGCGCATGATGAAACACTTGCATAGATGAGCTTTATCACTCGCGTTTTCCATGGTGCACTCAGAGCACTGTTTGCTGGATGACTGCCGTGTTGATAGCTATTGCCAGGGCTACGTTTTGTAGTAGCTGTCTGGGGGAAAGACCTAGTTTCTACCCTTTCTAAGGGAGCATTCTGTGCCCAGACCATTTTATGTTAAGTAAAAATAGATTCACATTACTTAGGTGTGCTTCAAATAGCAACTCAGAATTGCCTTGGAAACTATTTCAGGTCCTGAAACAGCTGATGTGGGGTGGATTATTTTGGAAAAAAGGAATAAAAGAGAGGTGACAATATCTTAAATGTTTGTGGGATTTTCTGTTTACTTCTCTGGATAGTTCTGTATGCCTCTTCGGTCTGAATTATTTGTGATTTGTGACCTATAAGCTTTGTACGTAAGAGGCAAAAGGAGAATTTTCTTTGTTGTACTAACTGAGAGTGTCATTGGCAGGTGATTAAGACTGAAGATGCTAAAGGTTTTAGGCTTTATCCTGTGTGGTCTCCTGATGTCTTTGCGAAGTTCAAATGCAGAAAGCACTATCATCTCTCAAGAAGCATATGAGAAGGGTGAGTAAAACCTCTCCAGTTTTATCCTGGCCATTCTATACACTGTGTGAGCATTTCCCAACGACCCTTTTCTTGCTGCTCTGCTTATGTTTGTTTATACTTTCTATTAAAGTTCTCAGCCTTTGGAAATGTCAAGCTCCTAAAGAGCTTTTAGGAATCTGAGCAAGTCTGTTTTGTAGATCCCCCTCCTCCTTAGCCCCAAAGAGTTTTGAAGGTCTCATTTTTTCCATCTAGCCTGCAGCAGCAGCTATTTTTGAGCTGCAGTCCTCTTGAATTAAAAACAAAAATGTTTCCCTTCACTCCTAAGAAACCAGGCAAGCTTTATGCTTCCTCAGATGCCCCGGCATGTGTTTGGATATCTGAATTCTGTTGTTTGCAACTTCTGTTGACTGAAAGCATAAATTCATTGCCTAGATAGCGCATCCTTTGACTCTTACCTCCCATAAGAGGAGATGTGGGAAAAATGACAACTTAGATGCTTTTTCATATAGTTACAGGTCATCATCCAGCACACTAGATCTAATAGTAGTGTTTTTCTTTACAGCTTGTGAAGATTCAACGAAGGGCCTTTTTGAGTCTGAAATGAGCAAATTCACATTCCCAGAATTAAAAGTGGATTCAATAGCTATCAAAGGGTGAGTGACAAACAGAATAAAGGCTTTGGCATGATTACTTGTCTCGTGATAACGTCTAGAGGTCCAGTTGTACACTAACTACACTACACCAGTCTCTGCACTGAGCGCTGTTTGCCTCATAGCAGAAATGGCAGCTGCAGGAGGAACGTATGTGATGGGTAAGGTTGTGTTAAGTACATCTATTACAATCTGTCTATGGGATCTACAAGCTAATTGAAGGAGAAACAGGCTTCAGCAAACAACTTTGAGCTGAGACTCCATCCACAAGGGATTACGTGGAGAGAAATGACAAGGCAGAATGAAACCAAAAGCATTTTATTGGATAAATGTCTGTGATATGACAAGAAAAGATGCAGCCTTGGGCACCTGCCTTGCAAAAGCCAGCCTCATTTCTGTCCATCCTCTCTCTCCATTTCATTTTCCACCTGAGCTGTTTAGGGACAGTTCTTCCTGCTACTCTGTGTTTAACTGTACTTTATTGTTGATGTTTGTAACAGCAAATAAAGGGCCCTGCAGGAGTTGCTTGGCTTGACACTCTAAGCCTAGATAACTTTGCTGCTCATATTTTCTGGTCTCGTTTCACAGGTTGTACGTCATGAATGTTACAATTCTTCCAATAAAGGCCAAGTGCGTCCCTGGAGTTGGGGTCAAGGTGTATTTTTCTGCTCTTCTGAGTATCTTTGGTACTTGGTGAGTGTTGGCTGAAGGCTCTTGTGGAGTTCAAATTCCTTTCAACAGCATAAGAGAAGTATAAGGAAGGCTTCTATGTGGGCAAGAGGAGGGAGAGGAAGTAAGGTGTGTGTGTGTGTGGCTTTTTTTTTTTTTTTTGGGTCAAGACACTACAGAAACAAAACACTATTTCTAGGTCCAGTGCAACCACACATGCTGCGTAGTTTTTATTGGAGACTGAGGTTCCCCAAAAGGATTGTTCAGAGCGTTACTGCCCTTCCCAGAGTCTGATGGTAGTTCTTGAGGGAGGTGGGTTTTAATTTGAATATACTTCTGTTCACCTACAGAACTATAGAAAGCAGATGCCAGGAACTGTGATGATGCATAGTACATATTCAGTGTGACTTTGTCTCTACAGTGGAAATGTCCTTGTGCCTGGTGTGGTCACTGGCACTGTAAGGTTAAACTGCAGTGCACTGATTCTGCTGGCAAACTACTCACCAGACAACAGTTCTGTCGGTGTCAGGGACTACACATGTGATGCAAGTCTGATAGATGTCAAAATAAGCTTGAGGTGAGTGCTGCTGATTTTTTTGCAAGCAGAAATCTATGAGCTAGGGCTCTGTGCTAAGACATGTCAACAGCCTTTTAATCTTCATTTGATACAGCTTGTATTTTTGATTTATCATCTTTGCTTTGGATTTACTTGCAGCAGCACAGCTGTTTGAGTGGCCAGAGAAAGGTTTCCTTCATGTCTCTGCATATCAGTGTCACAGATTGAGACTATTTTGATTTTAAACTCTACTTGGCAGGTCGACTTGCACAGATGCCAGTCCACCAAGATACTGTCCTACTGTTTGATTCTTCCCATCCTTTTCTTAGGTGTAAACCACTTTATGTTTGAGACTAATGCACAGCAATATATTTTATAGAGAGGCTTGGGCTGCACCCATGCAGAGGAGCATATACTCTGTTTAGACTGATATTAGACTTCTCACTGCATATCACAAGCTGTATGGCACTGCAGATGTGAAGACTGGGATCTAGCAGTTACAGGCTGTGCTGCTGCAAAGGGAGGACTAATGCACACGCTGTCAGTGCAAAGCACAGCCCGACTGATGTGGCTTGTCAGCTGTGGTCTCTCTGGGGCCCAGACCTTGTCATGGTAGGCTCTCGAGAATGAGCCTTATGAACCAGCCTTTGGTTGTGGACTTGACTGGCCTGGAGACAGCTATGAGATGAGGCCTGCTGTGGTTTGTTTGCTCTCTATTCACAGGAAAGGAATGAAATGAGTTTGTGTGCTAAGACTGCCCTCTCCTGAGGCAGCAGCCTGGTGGCAGCACTTAAAAACAGTCTCCTGATGATCACCTCCCTCTCATTTCTCTCAAGTGCTTTTGTCTGATAATGGTTTGTTCAGTTTCAAAATAGTTTCATTTTGTCTGCAGCAATGTTGACGTAAGCGTGAAAGCCGCATTAAGAAACAACGTCCTGTTTGAGTTAAAAAACAAGGTACAATTTCTGATTACGTTCTCTAGAGCCCTGAGAAATAAGAGAGAGTTTCTCTCACTCAGCTCCTCCAGGCATAGACAGGGAGCAGACACTTCGTAAGGTCCCCTTCTACCAACCCTTACTGCTGAAATGAAGCAGAGCCTTGGCTCTGCAGTTTTATCTTCCTAGCCATGCATGGAGATGTCAGCTCTCCAGAGCTGCAGCAAATGGCTTCCCTACTAGGAGAAGGGAGTGAACTGTAGTTCTGTTACCCCCTTAAAACCTTCTGAGCAGCGTGAGTTGTCCTTCTGTGCCCCATCTCTAGAGGAAGAGATACCTGCTCAGTTCTGCAGTGCTAAGGAATAACAGCATCTCTGAACCAAAGTGTGACAGTGTAGGTGACACACTGCCACCTCTAAAAGGGAGGAAAAGAACAGCCCTAGTTTTTCCCTGACTACTTCTGCATAAAATCTCTGAGCCTGGAATGGAATAACTTTCTCTTGTGTTTCAGACACCTAAAATACTTTCGAGTTGCTTTTCCATTGGGCACAGGAAGTTACTGCATCGTATAAATTGTGAGTGATGCACCCCTTTTCATTTTCTTTGTATACCTGATAATCATGGTGGAGAGATACCCTGATGCTTTCCCATTCTGGCCAGATGTTAGTTGTGTACTGTAGCGCTGTTGGACACACCTTATGTAACTATACAGTATATAGCTGGACACACCTTGATCTATTACCAGCTTTAAGACAGAGCATCACCGGAATGCTCACTAATTATGCAGAGATGATACTCTGTTTTTAAACACTGCCAGAAACTTATGGAATGGAGAAACTGGGAGGGGAGTGGACTGGACGTGGTTCTTTCTAGGTGATGTCTTCCTATGTGGCTGTTGCAATCCAGGTCTATGAAGAGCTAATTGCAGCTCTAATGGGGGGCCTATAAGAAGTTCAGGCATGTAAAGGTTAGCTTTCATCATGAATTGTCTTTTCATTTTCTCTTGTATCAGTTGTTAACTGATATTTCTGTGTTGTTTTTGTCTGCAAATTGCTCAGTGTTAATATCCCTGTTATGTATATTTGAGGAGAGCTAAGAAATTCTTTGAGAGAGATGGCCTATGTTTCAAGATATTTTATGCGGTTTTGAAAATTTTATTGGAGGGGCTATGTTGGTTGAGATTTGGGCCTATTCTTTGAACTGGATTGAGTCTTCACTTTCTTCTTTAAAAAAAAAAAAAAACCAACCAAAACTGTATACCAAGCAGACTTGCTTTGATGCCTATTTAATTTAGATGGTCTAATATAGTTCAGCAGCAACTCAAAATCATAGTCTTCATCTGTCTGATATTCTGCTGGGGTTTCCCTCCATCAATCTCTTTCTGTTTCCATGCAGCTGTAATTGCATTTGAGACAGGAAAAATCATATATGTGCCCAGGCCCCCCAAAGTACATAACTACTCCATTGAAATACCTCTGCAGGTAAGTGCAAGCTGTGAGTGTCATTTTTGAGACTGAAGTTTCACAACTTTTTGCTTCATGGTTTCTGAGCAGTTTTAAAGCTTCACTTCCTCTGTGACACTAATAGAGAAACAGTTGGTAGAAAAGCTGTTGTATAGTTCATCAGCTGTCAGGATTCACTTGGAATTCATGGAGAATGGTTCTCCTGCTCTTGCTCACATCTAGTAGCATGTGCTTGTTGAGACCTATATCATTAAGGGGTTTCTCCCATAGTGAGTGTGTGGTGTTGTCTTTGCTTTCAGACTCAATATGAGACCAGTGATGGGAAGAGAATTCCCATTCCATCTCTGCCAGCCAGCCCTGAGGTAATGCTGGCAGCAAATGGCACAACTGAAACCATTGTGGAGAATACATTTACCACTATTCTCTCCCGGATAGTCTTTGAGAAACCCAAGACCATCCCTTGCACCCCTGAAACAGTGAGTGATGCAACTGTCTGGATTGTTCAAGTTTCCTTTCAGTGTGGCTCTTACCACAGCGTTTTGGACCAGTGCAGAAAGCTTCTCCGAAGTACCTGTTTCTACCTCCTGTTTGTTTTCGACCAGTAACATTCCAATGCTTATTGCTTCTTCGTTAAATGTGTGTTTTCAGGCACTACGTTATTTGCATCAAACCTCTGATTTTCTGGAGTTGCAGCTTTGAACACCTGTGCAGCTGCTGCTGCAGAGCTCGGAGAGCCTATTGCAAAGCTATCTATTTTAAATGAGGTTTCTATATATTCCTCAATTGCTTGAAAGGGCTTGGAAGCAGCTGCTGAAAAGCCATAGAAACCTGTTTGAGGAAGAACCACCTACTAAATTTGTTTAGATTATAAAAAGAGAAACTCCCTTCAAACTCCATTGAGAAGAGCAAAAAGCATTGTAAAGAGAAGTTGGCTTGGGAACCAGTGGTTCATTGTGGTCTTCTCATTACCAGCATGTATCATTTGTGATGAAGGCTTCATGTAGCTGGAGGAAGTGATGTCCCTTCCCCCCCCCCCCCCCCAACCTAATCCTTCTGGGAGGAGTAGGACTGGGTATGTGTCTTTAATGTTCATCTTTGAGACAATGTGACATTTCCAGCTGACGCTTGTGTTTACTTCATACAGTTCCCCGAGACTCGTGCTCTTGAGGTGGCCCTCAACAATACAATTGTGTCTAAGGTGAGCCTGTCCCAAATCCATGGAGGTTGTTTCCCTGCTATATCCTAACTATATCCTAAACCTCTCATTATTTAACCCACTGCCAAGCTGTACTAACTCCTCATCTGACTGCATGACTTGCAGTTGGTACCTGGTATCTTTGTGCAGCTCCACAGCTTCTTGCCATTGCGAGAGAGGCCGTGGTGCTGTACAGCACCCAGAGATGTGGGAGCAGCGGGGGAATGCTGAGGGAGCAGGAGGCAAAGGCCTGGGCAAGGGGGCCAAGGCAGCCTTTCAGCTTCCCTGGTAAATTTGCACTGTACTGAAGACGCCAAAAAGGGAGAAAGCTCTTACTGAGACTGCATGGGCAGCTGGCTGGGCAGTTACACCTTCTGCCCTGCCTGACACCAAGGGTTCACTCTGTGCTTGCTGTCACGCTCCCCCACTGCCTGCCCCTGTTGCCCCTGTGCTCACTCTTGCTGGGTGTCCGCTCTGGTTTAAGCGTAGTTCTGGCATCTCCCTGCCTTGCAGTGCCCAGTGTGCTCATCATCTCCTTTCTCGCTTGTCGTCATTGTTGAAGTGGTCACTCCTTTGAAGGTCCATCTGGATGTGAACTTGTGCACCATGAATATTTCTCTTAACCTGGAGATAATGAGTAAAAAAGGAAATGAGAGCTTGTTGGTTCTTGCTGTCCTGGAGGCTGTAAGTGCTGGGAACAAAGCTGTTTAAAGTCAGTGGCTAAGTGTGGGGGACAGAGGGGAGGAGGGCAGGGTTAATGACAAAATGTGAATTTGTCATTTACATTAATAAATTGAGTAGAAACCCTAACAACTGAAACCTAAGCAAAGCTATACATATATATATATATGTGTGTGTGTGTATATATATATATATTTTTAAACAGAGCCCAGTGTTGCTTATGTCTTATGTAGTGATTTATAGCGCTGAGATCAATTTGGATGCAGTTTTGGTGATCTGCTCTCCTGTCCTCATTACAGAAACTTGGTTTGGCAGCCACTCTTCACGTTACTGAAGGGAAAGTGCAATTCAGCGCGGCCCTTGACAGGTAGGATGTTCTTAAGGCCCTTTATGCAGATGGGCTCCCTCCCTGGATTGTCGGCCTTAGCTGTTTGGAGAGCGACCCGGTGAGCTGCTGCTCTACCTCGCTTGTTCTCCTCTCTCCGTAGCCTGGCTCTCTCGCTGGTTTCCTCAGTCAACGGCACCACTGATGTAAGTCCCGTGTTTTACCAGCCCTGTGCTACGTGGAGGAGTGCAGGCAGCTCTCCGGCAGCTGGGTAGACCTGGCTCCATGCTGTCCCCCCAGTGAGCCAGCAGTGAACTGGCCCCAAAAGGCAGGAGAGTCCTTCCCTTTGCCTTTGAGGGGGATTAAAGGTGCATTGGGAATAAGTAGAGAAAGGAAGAGGAGAGCAGTCAGGATGTTCTCTGTCCCCTTGCTCTTCTGTCCCTATAGCCACTAGGAGCCAAGATGTATCACTACAGAGGCAGTGTGTACAAGCTTTTACAGGGTTGTAGCAAACAGCCCTCCAGTAGGTTGGGGGCAGGAGTGGGGGACAAATCTCTGGCAATGCCGTGTGATGCAGAAACACCTTTCACTCTGGCTTCTGCTAACATGACAGTGATGTGCAAAGCTGTCTAGCAGAAATCTAGTTACTACTATATCATGTTGAATAGGTTTTCAGCAATGCATTCTTTTGGTTTTCTTACTAAGTTGTCTCTGTTTTTCAGATTAAACTTCTTCAGGAACCCTTGAGAGCTTTTGTTCAAGAAGTTATAATAAATGAAATCAATTGTAAGTCCTCAAGGATGTTTTCTTGGCTGATTTCTTGTTAGTCAAAAACCAAATTATGCAGGCCAAGAGTGTTCTTTGGAGCAATTCAAGTGTGTATGTTCTTTGCTGGAGCAATTGCATATTCTACAAGTATTAATTCATAAAAGGCAAGCTGGGTCTTTGGAATCTTGCTAATACGTAGCCATCAATTTGGGTCTTAGACCGTGCTGTTTATGTGCTACAGCAATAAATTTATATTGTATGAAGATGTGAGTTTTTGGGGGAAATGAACAGTGAAGTCCAAAAACGGAGCATCTCCAGATGCATGCACCAAATGTGTCTGTTCCTTCACACAGTAATAAGATATTTGTACTAAGAATCAAGCAAAGGGAGCACGTCTCCACTGGAGTAACTTTCCTGTATTATAAATGCACTTAATCTCTTTCACATTTACAAAAGCTTTGTTAAATATCTGTTCTGCATGTTTCTGGTACTTCCTTTTTTGCCCATCATCCTGGTTCTAGCCCAACCTTAACAGGGAGGGTAAGACAGGCCAAGGGTGTTGATCTTTGTATATGTTTCATTTCAGCATATCTCAAAATTGGAAAAATCCCAATACTTAGGATCCCAGGACTGACGTACACAGCTGTCGATTGCCGCCCTGCACAGGTAAGCCCTCTTATTAAGGGTGAGCCTCCTCATCCAGTAGTGCTCTTCCTCTTCTCCTCAGTGTCTCAGTGTACAGTGACTTATTTGAGTACCATGCTTAAAACATCCAGCAGACGTTCTGTAGAGCCAAATACCTCTGAGGAGACTATCTCCTGTCCATAAGCTGCAGCTGGCCTCTTATGTTTGCTACTAACAGGATTTATGAACAAGCTGTCATTTTCTTCAGAAACCTGTGTGTTGCAGCCAGGCCAGGGCTTATAGGGGCTCTCGCCATTCGTTTTTGCTTATTGCTTTCTACACAGTGGATTCACTCTGTGTGAGGACACTTCATTAAAAAGAATTGTGCCCCTGTAATATGGAAATCGTCTTGCAAATGGTGATTTCCTGATAGTTTTAAATCAAAGGTTGGGTAGATATTTGCCTAGGCTCGCACAGGATGAGCTGGGCAGAAGTGTTTGCTTGCATTTGCATGGGTCTTGAAAGGCTTCTTAGATGCATGAAGTTAATACAGTGGAAAATTGATTTTTTTTTTTCCTGCCTACCTAAGCAAGCCTTTAGTGATTAATGCTGTTAAGTAAAAACGACAGCAACAAATTCAGTTTTATAACGCGCTTTGGATTTCAGGTCTATGAAGAATGCTTGCTTTGTAAAATAAATGTTTCCTTCCAGAACTCTTTCAAAAATTTTTTCTCTCTCTAAAATCCCCTTGTTTCCATAGTTGCATTCTGATGCTAATAGGATTCATAGCTTCATAATTCTTTGTCCTCTTCTTGCATTGGTACAAGGCTAAATTCAGAAGAGATATGTTTGCTAGGAAAGAAACTTAGCAGAAGAGACGATCCATTCTTTGGTTGTGAAATTAGTTGAGCTTTTTTTTTCATTTGCTGTTCTCCTAGCGCTGTATTGTGTGCCATAACTACCACAAGAAAAAGAAAAACTGACGTACGGGATGAGTTGCTTGCTGTTGCATCTCTTACACTGAACAGTAAAGACAGAGACCGTCATGAGTGAAGATATTTTAACTCATATAATTCTTTATTCTAAAACTTTGATTACTTTTTTTATTTTAATGGAGGAAAAACTCCTACATCTGCTTTAGGATTGCAGATGAAGTACAGAGGATCCAAACTATCTCCTTGTTAAAAATGCATTCTACTAGAAGTACTATTTTCCAAAATCAATGATGTGTTTGGTTATATCCTTCAAGGAAAGGTTTGGGACATTGGTTACTGTTTTGCTTTCTTTTGGCTGCTCTAAATAAATGGCTGTACTTTGCCAGCACTTTCGTTGTGATCTTTTACACCATAACAGGATTTGGTTCCTTGCAATTGCTGTAATCCAGAGAGGGAGTGAATGGCTGCTTCTTGCATGCATCCTACAAGAAACGGAGGCCTTGGGTGTACAGAGAGTTGTAAGAGTAGCGGAGGAATTGGAGTGTGGCAGAGGGATCTGGGTTTTTCTCTCGCTCCTTTGTGCAGTAGAGCTTCACAGATATGCCTGGAAGTGATTGTGCTCAGCCCTTCCTTGGCATGAGATCAAGCACAACAAATGGGTATCAAAACCGTATAGTAGGTTGATGTGAAGTCTGCCTGGACAGCAGGCAATTTTCTAGGGCTAGCTGGCCTTCTACTCCCCTTCTCCTTTTCTGTGAACAGAGATCAACAAAGTGGACGAGATCAACTTTTTACAAAACAGATGATGGGCCCTTCAAAGAGGGTAGTTTGCAACTCTCCTGCAGAACAGGAGGTCAGTTGATGCGAAACTGTGCTACCTGCAGGTATGATCATTGCATGCCGAGGGAAGATCACGCGCACAGCCCGGCTGCAGGTGTAGGAGGTGGGCAAGGGCGCAATGAGTACTTTAACAGGCTTCCTTGCTGTTGCCAAGCATCATGGGAAAGGAAGGATAATTATCTACAGAAACTTTGTCAAAGCCTGAGAGAGACAGCCTTGCCATTTGCTCTGAGCATAGCACGAGCCAGGTGCTCTCTTGGTCTGAACCCCCTCCAAGCTCGATTAGCAAGGAAGACTTGGTGCACGCTCAGTGGAAAGGCAAAATCCCAGCTCAGCCCAATTAGTCTCCTACCTGCTCTTGTATGGCTCTTTCCCCTCTGGTTCATGCTCAGTGCTGCTCCCAGCTGGTACGCTTGAACCAATGTGATAGCCGTCAGGCAGCCTTCCAGGGATTTATTGCTAGTCCACTGTGCTGAATTTAAATGTTTTCTTTGAGTGAGAGGTTTCAGAGGCTTTGTTCCCAGCTACAGCAAAGCACGTTGCTACTCAAAAATAAAGGTACTTTGTGGGTCAGGATATTCTGCCTGCTCATGAAGCTATCCACAAATTGCAGAAACAGATTATATGACTTGAATGCTACACTATGATGTGTGTTCAGTCATCTAAATCATATGGCAGTTGTTTGAGCTTTGTCTGGATGATTGATTCAAATGTAAATTGGATTAATAAATCCTTTATGGGCTAAAATATGCTCTCCTTCTATCTTGATTTTTTTTTCCTCCTTTTATTGTTAAGTGGTATAGAAAATAGATGTTTTTAATCCAATAAATACATATTTGACTACTTCTTTAGGAGGGCAGGTGAAATGAATTCTGTATAATTTGTTTTGAAATGCTTTACTATTTTGTCTGTTGAATTACTAACGTGTTTGTATCTTGGCTCATGTACTTCTGGTCAGTAATCTGCTTGTGGAAATGTTTGTGCCAGTCACTGATGGCAAGGCCAGGTGGATATTTCTTTAAATGCATATTAGTCAAGGGCAAAGTATTTGAGAAGTCTCTTTCCATTTTTTTATTCGTGGAGTGGAATATTGTGGTGAAAAGGTGCCCTGCTGCCATCAAAGATCTACTCAGTTTGGGAGTCTGTGCAGAGAGACTTGAACTGGTGTCACAACTAGCCTTTGACTGTCTCCAAGCATTTTGTGAACATTTTAAGCTATTTTCATTGATATTTCATTGGAGGCAGGAGGAACATGCGAAGTACAACCCAGCAAAGGAATGTCGTTTAAACTCTTCTCCCAGCCTGGTTATATTTAATCAGCAGTTCCACAGACAGTAATTTGTGGAACCAGTATCTTTTCAGTGAAGTTCAGTGGGTCCCTAGCTCTTTCCCACCATTTCAGTGATGGCATTTCTAGTCCCAGAGTAAGCATTTAGTTAGTGTGTGGAATCAGGCCCTTGGTCTTCCTTAGGCTATAAATATTTGAGCATTTTTCATGTCTCAGGGCAGGAATCCCACCGCTGCCTACGCTGGGCACTCACTGGCTCATCAGAATTTCGTTCTGCACTCAGTACCTTCACCGTCTCATCTGCTTTTCCCTTTGCACTGCTCCCCAGCAACTCACATCAAGCATTAACAAGATAAAAATACCCAGAATGGCTCGTCTCTGATGTCCATTCAAGACTCTCACTTCTTGCTGACAGCTGTTGGTTTCAGGTGCTTCAGAGGAAGGTATAAGAACTCTGCAGCACATCTGAGAAAGCCTGTCTGCCTCCTCTCCCTTTTTTCTCTCAAAGTCTCTGGGAGTAAGAGATTAGCTTAGAGTTGGAGCGCACCGAAGTGAAATATCCTTGAAATATGTTACCAGTCACTGTGATGATTCTGTGTGTCCTCAGTGTCTATGTAAATGTCCAAACTTCTTTTGAATCCAAATGCCATCTTGGCTTTGGAGATCTTTGGCAGAATATCGCATATTAGAATTGCTTACATGGAAATACATTTCCTCCTCCCAGTTCCCCCAAAGTGGAGAAGTCCCTGCTTTGGCTGCTTATCCCACAGTGCTGATTACTGGAAGCGTTCTGCTTAGGCGACTTCTCTTTCTGTCTCTGCTTGTCTCACTGCATCCCCCCTCGCCACCGTGCCCGCGGCTGACATCCCAGAGTTCGGTGATTATTTCAAGAGCTGGTTGTTCTGGAGCAACTGGGGCAGCAACCTGGTGTACAGGGGTGTGAAGGCTCCATAAACCAGTATGATTGCGTTGCTGGCAGCGCCACCTGTACTGTTCATTTTATTTTAGAAAGGGGGGGGGGGAAAAAAAAAAAGGAAAGATCCATTTTTCCTTAACATCCACCAGTGTCTTGGGAGATACTGTATATGCCTTTTCACACCTGATATTCCCTAAAAGGTACTGGATTGCTTCTGCGTTTGCATAATAAGAGGTCTACTTGTGCCCTGTCATTGCTGCCAGCTGTTGAACATCAATATTTATGGGTGGTTGTTACACAGTTTCTTGCCTGTGTGTTGTGTTTATAGGGGAGAAATCGCAAATAAAATCATTCATGCGCAAACTTGCTACTATTCAGAATCTGAATTTCTCTATCTCTGCACTGGGCCATTAAGAATAAGAGATTCTGTGACTGGCTTCAGAGCCTGACTTGGCTATTTAGAAAGCATCCATTCAATAAATCATACGGGGAGCAGCTGCCGCTCTCTGCTGAGCCAAGACACAACAGATAAAATATTGCTCATTTATTTGGTTTACTAGAAATAAAGTTGCTGTAGTGGAACATCATTACAGGCTGTTCTTAATTCACCTTAAGGCTATTTCTAATAGCAGCACACAAGTCTCCTGTGACAGTGTGAGTGAATGAGATGGGTGTTTTGATGTCAAGCTGAATGTAAGAAAGGTTTGAGGAATCAAAGCTTTGAAAGAAAAAGAACTACTGTTTGTGCTCTGATACTGGAAGAGGTCCCTGTTTTAGTATTAGCACTATACCTACTGAAAGTCCTGACACTTGTTCCTTAGAGATTTGAAGCAATTCAATCCATGAAATTCTCTTTCAGGTCTTTTTTTTTTTTTTTTTTAACAAGTTGCTGCATGTTGGTAAAGCTGAAGGTGGCCTTGATTGCTAGCAGAGGCATCCAGGGCTGGCATTAAGTTAATACTTGTTTGTTTGTTTTTTTTCCAGCTGTGTAACAACCTAGAAACCTGTTTCTGTCCAGCCCTTGGCTTACAGGAGTTAGTTACTTGAATGCAAGCAAAACTGTTTATGAAGTACTGTCCAAAGCGTTTCAATTTAGGCTCACTGCTCTGCAGAAATGTTGTCACTATAATATTCAGCAATGGGGCCCTGGCATCTCTAGGCATGTTGCCCACTAATCTGACAAGATGCTAAAGAGTTTTACTGGGGGTGAGGGGGGAGAGGAGGAAGTAGGAAGCCAATAGGAGTGTTACAGTGTAGGACTGGGTGCACGTTTTCTTTGACAGGAAACAGCATCTAATCAGGATCCAGAGCTAAGGAGAAAAGCAGGTCTCCAAATGTCACTCCATCTTCTCACTGGTGTTATTGCTTGGCTAAAACAAGCGGGAGCGTTGTAAGGATTTGAAGACAGTACCATATGGCAGGTGAGACAGGCAATGGCCATGATCTTGTCTTGTGTGTGTTACATCTTTAAACGTCCAGTCACCTGTGCGGAGGCAGCTGGTGTTTTATGTTCATTTTGGGTGTGGGGTGCTCCAGAAGAGAGCCATGTATCCTGCTCTTCCATAGAGGCATTTCTGTGTCCTTGCTCATCTCAATTATTCTCTATAAAATAGAGATAACTGGCTGAAAATGTATGGTTGCTCTAGTTCACAGAAAAGCAGCTTGTGTTACTGAGAGTGACAAAGCTAACGACGCAGCGAAGCGCCTGGATTCCCCAGTGCTGAATTGCATGTTGGTTGACAAAACAGATGGTGTTTGTTCCAGCTGAGGTCCAGGCCTTGCCGTGCTGCTGACGTGGTTTAGTGAAGGCAGTGCTGTGACCCTGCGGTCCTGTGTATTTAATCACAGGCTGCCTAAATGTTGGTCCTGAAGGGCGCTGTGTTGCAGACCCGCAGAGAATGCAGTGCTGGTGACAAGATGCTAGTGGTTCCTGGGCAGAACTGAACAACAGGAGAAAATGATTTACAATTTGCTGGGCTTATCAGAGTCTGAGTCTGAACAGCACTGCTCAGTTTTCCATGCAGGAGTACTGCTGATGCCTACAGCCATATTAAACACGGTCCCTTTCCTGACAACCCTGATAGCCTCTACTTAACAATAACTTCTGCTGAAAAAGAAAAAAGAAGTGTATACTGAAATAGCAAAGATGAGAGAGCAGCGTGCTCTTGCTGTTAGAGGTGACCTTGATTCCGTGTGTGAGGGCTGCAAAGTATCATAATTCAATGAGAATATTTATTC